GTGCCCCCTAAACCCTAAACCCGAGTCCCTAAACCCTGAACCCTGAACCCCAAACCATACACCGAACCCTAGCAAGGCTGAACATGTGAGCCCAGCAGGTTTCCGATTCCATCTCCTTATACTCCTCATTCGAACATTTGTACAAAATGCCCACAAGTTCGATTCCAGTTAAGGCCTTAACCTTAAGCCCTACAATTTTGAAGTCCCCATACGCATGACCCCTAAACCCTAAACCCTAAACCCTAAGCCCCCCTTCAGCTGCTATGGACCTCTTTGCAAGGTCACGACCAGCGAGCACCTCATCGCAGGCTTCTCCAAGGCCTTCCAAAACTAGGGTTTAGGATTTAGGGTTTAGGGTTTAGGGTTTAGGGTTTAGGGTTTGGGCTTTAGGGTTTTCGGCGAACGTCTTGTTTCATCCACCCTTACCTGGGCAAGTACCCAGATGCGCACATGCCCCCTAGGATGGCACCCAGGGCTTTTCCATCTCGGGGTACTGCTCAACTCGGTTTCTGGTTTAAGCATGCCTAAACTTAGGGGACCAGCTCCCTTACCAAGCAACATTTAGCAAGGTTTTCTTAGGTCTTAAGTTACTTGGCCTTCCTGAACACTTGCGAACCCCTACTGTCGTTTGCGTGCATTGCAAGGCTGGCAGACCCTAAATCCGAGTTGCCCCTGGACCCTGAACCTTCAAACCCTAAACCTTAAATCTTACACCCTAAACCCTAAACCGTAAATCCTAAACCCTAAGCCCTAAGCCCTAGACCCTGGACGATAGACCCTAAACCCTAAACCCTAAAACAACCCTAAACCCTAATCCCTAAACCCTAAACCCTAAACCAAGCCAAACCCTAAACCCTAAACCTCAAGCTTCGGGGTTTGGTTTCGGGTTAGGCGTTAGGGTTTACCTGGACCCCCCAAGTACCCCTTAAGATGCCCTAAATACCCCCATTGAGGTGCACTTAGGCCCTTACCAGGGGTACTTGGGGGGTGCGGGTTTAGGGTTTAGGGTTTAGGGTTTAGGGTTTAGGGTTTAGGGTTGAGGTCTAGTTTTTCTTCATTGCTCTACTGTTTAGGTTTTAGGCTTCAGGGAACTTCTGGTGTGGGAGCGTAGGCCTTCAGCAGCCTCACCGTTCTTGAGAAGCCTTAACCTGGAACTCTCAATCTTAGGCCTAACCCTAAACCCTACCCCGTAAAACCTAAGCCATTTAGCCTAAACCCTAAACCCGAACCCCTAAAAAACCCTGAACCCTAAACCCGAACCCCTAAAAAACCCTGAACCCTAAACCCGAACCCTAAAAGCCCTGAACTCTAACCCTAAAAACCCTGAACCCTAAACCCGAACCCTAGAAACCCTAAACCCTAAACCCGAACCCCAAAAAACCCTGAACCCTAAGAAGACCTGGAACCTGAGATCTCCCCTGGGCCAAAGGTTGAAGATTAGCCATCCACGTGAGCCTGAGATGGGCGCTGCACGAATTGCCCAGGGTTACAATGTAGTGTTTAGAGTTCAGGGTTTAGAGTGCCGGATTTAGGAGTTTGGATTTCAGTTGAGGGTTTAGGGTTTAGGGTCTAGGGTCTAGGGTTTAGGGTTGTAGGGTTTAGGACTACAGTAGTCCAGAATTATTGTTGGGTGCCTTCGAGCACACGAAGCCAGAAGCAAGCGGCAAGGACAGAGTCTCGAGTAGCTAAATCTCAACCCTGGACCTGGACCTGAAATCCTAAACGACAGGCCCCCTTAAGGCCTGAACCCTAAGCCCTAAACCCTAAACCCTAAACCCTAAACCCTGAACCCTGAACCCCAAACCCCGAACCCCAAACCCTAAACCCTAAACCCTAAACCCTAGACCCTAGAGCCTAGACCCTAAACCCTAAACCCTAAACCCTAAACCCTAAACCCTAAACCCTAGCTTGAGCTCAAGGGAGAAGGACCAGCGAGGATGACATGGAACCTAGGTCATACGGGAGGGGGTGGAAAGGTTTAGGGTTTAGGGTTTAGGGTTTGGGATTAAGGGTTAAAAAGGGTTGAGGGGGAAGGGCGAAAAGTTTAGGGTTGCATCTCGAGCTGGGGTTGCTATCTGAAGTCTGCTGAGGGCGTGGATGGTTTAGGGTTTAGGGTTTAGGGTTTAGGGTTTAGGGTTTAGGGTTTAGGGTTTAGGGTTTAGGGTTAAGGGTTTAGGGTTTAGGGTTTAGGGTTTAGGGTTTAGGGTTGTGCGTTGCGGGGTGGCGGGGTGGGGGGGGGGGGGGGGGGGGGGGGGGGAGGATGGCCAAGGCCGGCAGGAAGCCTCATTAACCCTACCTCAAACCCTAAACCTGGAAGGGCTTCAGTGAGGTGGGAGGCGCTCGGCACTCGTGGGGTTCAATGCCGCAAACCCTAAACTTCGGCCCTGACCCCCGAACACTGCACATTTTGCCCTATGCCTATCGCAACCTCACACGTTTAAGAAATGAAGGCGCAGTCCCTCTTTAAGGTCCTCCTATGGAAAGCAGGTGCTCAGATTTATTGCGTCAAGGCTGTTCCTATCCCAAGTTCTATACATGCTGCTCTCGGCATCGCTTAAGCCCGCCGTAGGCGGGTCCCTGGGTTCTGCACAACAGGTTTTAGGACCCCCGGCGCAGCGCTTGCCGAACCGGTGAATTTTTACGTCATCATTAGGGCTGCGAGGGCAGAAATTGCAGTTGACGCCCTGCCTCGACCCCCACATGTAGCCCTTGTTACCCTAAACCCTTAAACCCTTAAATCCTAAACTCTAAACCAAAAACCTTAAACCCCCAACCTTAAAGCCACCTTCCTCTTTCGTGCTCGCCGTAAACCCTAAACCCTAAACCCTAAACCCTAAACCCTAAACCCTAAACCCTAAACCCTAAACCCTAAACCCTAAAATCGGCACCCTGGCACAGGAACGACAACCGGGGGTCCATGAACCCTCAGCCACGGTTTAGGGTTTAGGGTTTAGGGTTTAGGGTTTAGGGTTTAGGGTTTAGGGTTTAGGGTTTAGGGTTTAGGGTTTAGGGTTTAGGGTTCAAGGGCGGATTGCCCTGGCCCCGTGAACCTGCAACCGCTAGACCCCCGTAATTACTGCGTTTCTGCTTTCTGCAGGGTTTTTGAGGTTTAGGTTTTAGGGTTCAAGGTTTAGGAGTTCAAGTTTGGGGTGCTGACTTCAGTGCTTCATAAGGTTTAAGCCGACAAGTTGGATGAAGACCTCTTCAAACCTCTGTCCAGACCTGCTCCCCACCAATTCCGCATTTCGGGTCTTCATATGACATGTAGCTGGTTTGAGCTAGGCGCTGTGCCGGAGCGAGTTGAATCTTTGCACGACCTGTTTTGCCGAAATCTGCCTGTCAAAAGGCGGCTTGTACCTGGGCTGGGTCAGGGCATGCGGGGTTTTGTCCTTGCTTGTGGGTGTCTCGGTTTAGGTATACCGCAATCGGGGAGGATGTAAAACATCCGAGTTGTAGGCCATGTCAGCAAATGCGCACAGGAGCTTAATTACTAAATCCAGATGCTTGCCACCGCGAGTCTGATACGATGTGTGGTGGAGCTGCTTTGTTTGGTGGCGTCGCTATGTGAAGTCGTTTGCAAGATTCTTTCTGCGTATCGTGTCTTATGGGCGGCGACCACATGCGGCGACCACACCACGGACCCCGAGGGCTTAGAAGTATTTATTTGTAGCGTTTTTCCCATTTATTCCATTATGCCCTCGCTCGTCATAACAAACCCACCCTCGCAAGAATGTTATTTGGTCGATTTAGGGAGTTTAGGGGGTTAAGGGTTCAAACTTCCAACTGACTGAGCCCCCCCACCCCCTGACTACGCTCCGGAACCCTTCCTGAACACCCTAGACCCCAAACCCCAAACGCTGCACCCTAAACCCTAAACCCTAAACCCTATAGGGTTTATAAACCCTGAACCCCAATCCCTAAACCCTAAACCCCAATCCCTAAACCCTAAACCCTCTCGCACTGTCCGAAGAAGCCCTGATTCCCTTGGGGGTTGACAGCTCCCCTCGGCGCGCGGAGCACAGCGGACTGCAGAGTCTACCCACGACCCGAGCCCCTTTCTAGGGTTTATGTGGGTCTAGGGTTTAGGGTTTAGGGTTTGGGTTTAGAGTTTAGGGTTTAGGGTTTAGGGTTTAGGGTTTAGGGTTTAGGGTTTAGGGTTTAGGGTTGGGGTTTAGGGTTTGGGGTTTAGGGTTTAGGGTTTGGGGTCTAGGCTTTATGTGGGCTTAGGGTTTGAGGTTTAGGCACCTCCTTTTTGCAGGGAAGAATATGATAATGAGGCCCTGAATCGTAGTACTAAAAGCCCCAATCATGCGCCAGCTTATAACACGTGCTCTTATTTTGAAGATTAAGGGGGCATGTATTCAAAGACTTACTGTGCACGCCTTAAAAACTGTGTATTGTCATATTCACCCATCTTGGCTTGTCCCCCAAAAGCCCATGTTAACAATACTGCATGATAGTATAGCTGCTTTCGCGGGCAGTGACCAGCACTATCAACCTCGCAGCTTGGAACGTTCGTTGCAGAACAGCCTGGGCATTTCCACAAGAGGGGGGATTTTTGTGGGTTGTGGGTTGTTGCCATTATGGTTATGGTCTTGACTTCTAGCATTGTCGTGATAGTAGCAGTGTTGGAGTAGGACAGCCTACTAATGACCTAGTTCTCATTCAACCACATGCGTATACCACTACTGGATAGTAGTTGATGACTCAGCTACCCGATCGGTCACCATGTCGGGCTACCACTGGGCCACTGCTCCCGCAAAGCAGCAACTGGCAGAATGCAGCGCAGGCACCTGTTGCGTGTTCAGGGTTTTGATTTGTCATGCGTCGTCGTGAATGAGTAGCGAATGCTGCCACCATCAAGTTACATGGTCACAGGCGGGAAAGATGACAAGCAACCAGCTCACTAGATGCATGACGTGGCACCTTTTGTTCAGAGCCCTCACAAGGGGTTCAGTAGGTTCCTTGCGGAGTTCGAAGGCCCCCCCTTATCGTCCGCGATGGGTTGCACATGTGCCAGCAGCAGTGGCAACAGCGCATGCGATTTAGAATGCAAAGAGGATATCTATGTTGGCTTCCACGAAGTCGCGGACCTGCTCAACCAAGATGGGCCATGCTCCAACAATATGAGTTCGCCCCTCCTGGGCAAAGACAATGACTTGGAGACTTCGGAAGAGTCTTCAGTGGAGGAAGACACTGAGGAGGAACACAAAGACCAAGACGAGCAAAAACCCATGCCGTGGATTCGGTTTGCAGCTTTGTGGGTGTGTGTCAGCCTGGCAGCAGGTGTGCTACCTGGTCAGTCACTCTTCGCGCAGATGTTCGCGGACGCTGGCGTGTTCAGCTCCAGCTGTGTGGACGGAAAGCCGGGATGCACGGATCCTTATTAGCTGAGTGAGTACACTTTACACTTTTTGGGATACGACAGCCCCCTACAAAGCTGAAAGTATATACTTTTGGGGGGCTTATGAACTCAGCAACCAAGGATCAGTATCTCGTTCTCACCACCGTCTTCGGCATCGGCCAGAGCCTCGCATATGGCTTTTCTGCCCCAATCGGCTTGCTCTTTGACCGATGGGGCCCAATGGTCACTTACTTAGCCAATAGTTGAACTTTAAACTTCTTGGGCTTACTTATTTAGTATGAAGAATAAAGTTTAGGGTACAAGGTTTGGGTTTAGGGTTTAGGGTTTAGAGTTTAGGGTAACCTTTCCTTCCCTTGGTTATTGGAGAAGTAAGGTCATGGGGGTAGTGGGAGCCCTCTTTTGTGCCATCGGCATGTTGATGGTCTCTGGATCTGTTGTGGGTGCTGCCGCGGGCCACGACGCGCAGACCTCATACTTGTTTCTCATGGGCACTTTCATCTGTGATTTCGGTTCTCTCCTCAACAGCTTTTCGTTCATGGGCCTCATCTGGCACTTTCCCGGGAAGCAGACGGTAGTGCTCTCCCTGATCAATGCCACATACCAAGCCTCTGCGCTGCTACCCATGGTTGTGCAAGCGGCCATGGAACAGTACCACTTCACCCTGTCCAGCATCATGTTCGCTTGGACAGGCGTTGTCTTTGCAACCGTCTACTTCTGCTGGCTGTTGACGCCCTCGCAGGCAGAGTATTACCAACAGGCGAAGAAGGTTCTCGGCATGCCACTGCCGAAGCCCCCAACGGAGCTGAAGCCATGTGAAATGATGTCACGTTGCATCGAGGTTCTGCAGCAGCATCGTCAGGACCACTGGGTCTCTGGCTTCACGTTGTCACTGGGTTTCTTGGTAACCCAGTGGTACCCTTTCCCTTTTTTTAGTTCAAGGTTCCCTTATACAGTAACCAACCCAAAAACAGGGTGCCCTTGTTGTCATATGCCGGGCTCCCGAGGTTTGATCATGCCCTTGCTGTACTCTTCAGAAGCAGCTCCCTACGGCGAGGTTCTCTTTGGTCACAAGGCCGATGGCGAGAAGCTTGCAGAGGTCAATGTTCTCTGCACTGCGATCCTTGGCAGCCCAGAGGTGCCATTTTTTGAGTTTTTGTTTTTGGTTCAAGGTTCCCTTACAAAGTAGCCGAGCCGAAGAAGGGTAACCCTGCCCATTGCCCTAAACCCTAAACCCTATACCCTAAACCCATGGCTACTGGGCGACCAAGGATAGTAGGCTTGGTAGTGGGCCCCTTCGTGGGGAGATTCGCAGACGCGTTTGGCCTGCAGGTCGGGGGCCCCACTCCCCCTTAAAGTACTTCCTATTTAGGGACTTTCGGGCCCAAGTACATAAAACTGAGGTACGTGGACCCTTTGGGGTGGGGCTTGTTGGAGTTGTTTGCTGTAAGTAGACTCTAATTCTAGCGTAGTTCGAACTCGGTGTCATGGCTTGACACGCTCGAATCCCTGGGTTGTTTTGAAACTGAGCAGCAACACGTCAGAGCAAAAGATTTCAGAGATTCTTGAACTCCAAACTCACATCGGAGCCGCTTTGCAGGCCATCATTGTGATCTTGGCGGTCCTGCAGGGAGTGGCTGTCACATTGGTAGGTTTGGCGAGTTGGCCCGCGCAGATCGTTTGCGCTGTTTCCCAGGTGCTCTTCATGGCACTGTGGGCCCTCTTGATAACGAGATATATACTCCTCTACTCGCCTCCAAACCGACTGGGTGCTGTGAACGGGGTGTACACGTTGGGCGTGGTGCTCATTGGCACCCCGATGCAGCTGGTGAGTTTTTGGGCGACCTCCGTTCTGCCACCAGGCCCAGGTGCATATCGGCTCCCAATGCTTGTATCGGGAGGCATAGGCATGCTTCTGTGTTGCTGAGTGAGTACATTTTACACTTTTTGGGATACTCGAGCCCCCTAGAGAACTGAACCTGCACACTTTTTTGGGGGGCTCAAATGAACTGAGCAACCAAGGCTTGCCATGGCCTTTTACGCCTTCTACTATCAGCGCCACCCCGCTCCCCACACTCCGCCGTTGCTTCCGGAGGATGAATCTGAGTTGGCGAAGGGCTTCGGTTGCGGAACGCTGGACGAGGTGGGGGGTTTACACGCAATGATCGACCCCCCCAAATAGTAGGATTCCCTGGTCAGAAGGACCCTAACAAGGTACCCCCCTCATTTCGGAAGCTTCCCTGGCAATGGAAGGACCCCAAGAAGGTACCCCTAAACCCTAAACCCTCTCTACCATATATATTTAAACCTTAATTGTATTTTCAAAATTTGGCCGCTTTATTTTCAGAATTTGGCCGCCTTATTTTCAGAATTTGGCCGCTTTATTTTCAGGATTTGGCCGCTTTATTTTCAGAATGAGCCAAAATCAGGCCAAAGGCTAATTGAATTTCAGAATTTGGCCGCTTTATTTTCAGAATTTGGCCGCTTTATTTTCAGAATTTGGCCGCTTGATTTTCAGAAATTGGCCGCTTTATATTCAGAATTTGGCCGCTTTATTTTCAGAATTTGGCCGCTTTATTTTCAGAATTTGGCCGCTTTATTTTCAGAATTTGGCCGCTTTATTTTTAGAATTTGGCCGCTTTATTTTCAGGATTTGGCCGCTTTATTTTCAGAATTGGGCCGTTTTATTTTCAGAATTTGGCCGCTTTATTTTCAGATTTTGGCCGCTTTATTTTCAGAATTTGGCCGCTTTATTTTCAGAATTTGGCCGCTTTATTTTCAGAATTTGGCCGCTTTATTTTCAGAATTTTGCCGCTTTATTTTCAGAATTTGGCCGCTTTATTTTGAGAATTTGGCCGATTTTGGCTTTCTCAATGTAGTGGGATTCTCTGGGTGGGTGGGTGTTATATCCGAGCCGTAAATAAAGCTTAACCATAAAGCTGCTCGACCCGGAGTGCTGAACCCTAAACCCGGTACCCCCCTCATTTCGGAAGCTTCCCTGGCAATGGAAGGACCCCAAGAAGGAAACCCTAAACCCTAAACCCTAAACCCTAAACCCTAAACCCTAAACCCTAAACCCTAAACCCTAAACCCTAAACCCTAAACCCTAAACCCTAAACCCTAAACCCTAAACCCTAAACCCCCTAAACCCTAAACCCCTAAACCCCCCCCCCCCCCCCCCCCCCCCCCCCCCCCCCACCGAATTTCGGAAGCCTTCCAGGTGTGTGAAGTGACTCAGACCAAGAGCAAGGCGGAGCTCGTGCGGAAGTTAGCCTCCTCAAAGCCGGAGGACATGCAGAGCCTCCTCAAGAGCATCGATGTGCAGAAGATGATGCAGGGGTAGGTTTGATTATCTATTTTGTTTTTTCTGTTTACTACCCTTAATCCCCTAGATTCTCCTTACAAAGCCATAGAACAGCCTATTTTTTTGTTTACCCTCAATCCCTTATATTCTCCTCAGAAAGCCATAAGAAAATTCCAAGTTTTAGAGGACCCCCCAAGCCTGCATCAGGATGGAGATCATGTCAAGGCGGCCCGTTGAGCATCTCGCCGAGATGATCGAGGAGAACGACGAGGAGATCAAGGAGGAGCCTTGGGGTCTAGGGTTTAGGGTTTAGGGTTTAGGGTTTAGGGTTTAGGGTTTAGGGTTTTAGGGTTTTAGGGTTTTAGGGGTTTTAGGGGTTTTAGGGTTTTTAGGGTTTAGGGTTTAGGGTTTAGGGTTCAAGGTTCCCCTACTGCCCCCATCTAGACTACCCACCCCTGCGTTCCCCCCATAATTAAGGCTATTTAGGGATAATTCAGCTTAATTAAGGTTATTTAAGGGGGGAAACTAGGGTAGTATAGAGGGGGGTAGTAGAGAAACCCATGAAGGAGAATGACGAGGAGGTGGGACCCGCGACTCTTGTGGTGCCGGAATTGGGGCCAAGTCCGACATCTGGCTTGCGTGCGGCCACTGATGCTGAGTCGTACTATCGCTCGCGTAGCAGCTACTTGGCTTTCTTCTGGCTGGCTCGTAGGACTAACTTTTTGGGTTTTTGGTAGAAACTCGAATAAGGAGACAGAAGTCAGCCAAGGCTATTTTGCCCGGATTATCGCAACAGGTGACAAAGGGGCGGTGCGGGACTACTTTCTCAATGAGCCCGTGGATGACATTCGCTACGTCGCTCTGTACATGGCCGAGCGCCAGTCTCCTGCGGAGCAGATGCAGCAAGATAAAGCCTTGAACAAGTTGATCTCAGGCAAAGAGTTCGCCGCCATTCTTCGCCGACGCCCGGAGCTAAAGCCTTTCGCTCTAAGCCTGATCGTGCAGGAGATGGCAAAGAAGATGGCTCCGGTCAATGGCCGGAAGAAGATGTGAGGGGATATATATATATATATATATATACATATGTATATAGATAATATCTAAAAAAGTAAAAATAATAATAATGATAATAATAATAATAGGAAAAATAATATTAGGAGATCGATGCCAGAAGCATTCGGCCCTTGAGGGGGGGTACACTCTCGAAGGAGCCTCTGAATGGAGGGTTCCGGTTGCATTAGGTCTGTTAACGTACAGTTTTTCCTCAGCAGGGCTTGTATGGACAGCCCTGCATGACTCAAAGCACCGGCTTCGGAGCGGCTAAGCCCTTGGAACGCCGCAGCGCCACACCGGGAACTCGAGTTTAGGGTTTAGGGTTTAGGGTTTAGGGTTATAGGGGTTAGGGTTTAGAGAGCTCCCCGAAAAGCTAGTTAGGACACGTGTCGACCCTCCAGAAGGAGCAGCAAAATGCGAGCGGGGTTGGGTTTAGGGTTTAGGGTTTCGGGTTTCGGGTTTCGGGTTTAGGGTTTAGGGTTTAGGGTTTAGGGTCTAGGGTCTAGGGTCTAGGGTCTAGGGTTTAGGGTTGGGTACCCGAAGCCTAGAAGCCTTGGTAGCCCGGTGATACCCTTTACCCTTCCTTTGGCTCCAGGTCTGGAGTAACCAACCCCAAAAACACCCTAAACCCTAAACCCTACCTAAACCCTAAAACCTAAACCCTAAACTCTAGAGCTCTAGCACCGCAAAATTCCGCAAACCCCCCCGCTGTTGTTCGCTGTTTTGGAGGGGGGTCGCATGACTCAAATCCGCCAAAAACCTTGCAGAACCGGAGAATCCAAAAAACCCCAAACTCTGAAAACCCTCAAGTTAGAGTCCTTCGTGTTTTTTTGTGGGCTGGGGGTTAGGGTTTAGGGTTTAGGGTTTAGGGTTTAGGGTTTAGGGTTTAGGGTTTAGGGTTTAGGGTTTAGGGTTTAGGGTTTAGGGTTTAGGGGTTATGGTTTAGGGGTTAGGGTTTAGGGTTTAGGGTTTAGGGTTTAGGGTTTAGGGTTTAGGGTTTAGGGTTTAGGGTTTCGGGTTTCGGGTTTCGGGTTTCGGGTTTCGGGTTTCGGGTTTGGGGTTCGGGGTTTGGGGTTTGGGGTTTAGGGTTTAGGGCCGTTCACAACCTTCTTCGAAGAAATTGAAAAGGGCTCGAGGGTTCTGCATCCCCACCCAACCCTTCCCAGAAGATAAGTAGAGGTTGGTCCTAAACACTTAACCCCCAAACCCCCAAACCCCTAAGTCCCCAAACTCCTAAACCCCTAAACCCCTAAAACCCTAAAACCCTAAACCCTTAACCCTAAACCCCAAACCCCAAACACCCCAAACACTGTTCTTTCGCCTCTGCCTGGAGCCCTCTTGTAGTCTTCTTCAGGTTGGGTGAGAGAAGGTTTTTGAGACAGCCTTCTTTTCTAAGGGCGGAACCTCTAGTAGGTTCAGGGTTTAGGGTTTAGGGTTTAGGGTTTGGGGTTTAGTAGGTGCAGGGTTTAGGGTTTAGGGTTTGGGGTTTAGGGTTTAGGGTTTAGGGTTTACAGGGATCTTCAAGGGACTAGAGGAGGGACCCCTATTGGGGACCATAGGGGTTCTTGGGAGTTATTTAGGGGCTACTTCGGAATGAAAAGAGGGGAAGAAGATGAAGGGTCCCTACGAGGGCTCCCTCCTTATGCCCCTTAAGATCTGAAGTCTGGGCCCTGATTATGTTAAGTGTATATAAGGGTTCAGGGTTTAGGGTTTCGGGTTTAGGGTTTAGGGTTTAGGGTTTAGGGTAACAAGCTGCCCAAATCAAGGGCCAATACTTGGGACCCGAGAGTTTGTTTCGCTACCCAGGTTTCTTATCTTTCGGGCTGAGGCGAGGTTAGGCTTGATTGCTTAGGGTTCCGGTGGTTCAGATATTTAGGGTTTTAGGGAACTCTTCTGGCAAGTGCTAGAGAAACTGTCGACCCATCCGACCCTGAAAAATCTCTAAACCCCTCGCTTGACCGCCCAAACCTTCAACCCACGCATTGCCAAACCACCTTTAGGGTTTAGGTGTTCTTCCTTACATCTCGTGGCGCATCGTGGGTTCTGAGTTCTGTGCTCTTGCGGCTCTCATGATGCCACTTCTTCTTCAGTCTTGGTGGTCTCTGCTTGTTCTGGACAGGTCCTCTTGCGCCTCCGTCAGCAGATTGGACAGGTGTGAGGTGGGGCTTGTGGTTCAAAAAGAAGGAAGCGCGGCTTCGCGGCTTCGAAGGATGCTTCGGCTTTAAGAAGTCTAAGGGTTTCAAGTGCAATGGCTCTAGTCTCAATTTCCCCCCCACCGACCCCAAGCAATTCCTACTTCTGGTCTAGGAGGGGCGTTATAGAGGGTAAGAATATTCAGCCCCCCTTCAACTCTGAGCTTGCAGCCCTCTAACCCTGAACCCTCAAACCCTAGACCCTAAACCCTAAACCCTAAACCCTAAACCCTAAACCCTAAACCCTACATTGCAATGGGGCCCCTTTAAGGATTCCCTAAATATAGAAGCCCAGGCAGGTTGTTTCAGCCAGTGTCTCGTCGGGCGGCCATCCATTTGACTGCAATGCAGGGTTCGCGAGGTTTGCGAGAATAGCTGTGGATGGGTGGTCGTCTTTGGTTTGCAGGGGGTCTGGATGTACTTGGAGGTCTGTTTGCTTACAAGCCTACGTATTAACAGTCATGAGAGGCTTAAAGGGCTATTCTTACTATTATTATTACTACTACTATTATGAGTATTATTCTTTTTTGTTATTATTCTTGTTATTGTTTTAGGGTTGCTTGGAATTCCTTTTGTTAAACGCCTGTGCCTAGGCGGCAACCCTACTGCCGCGAGGATTAGGGGTTCAGGGTTTGGGGTTTAGGTTTAGGGTTTAGGAGGTCCGCTTTGGTTGCAACTTCTTTTTTTAACTGCACCTATGTAGCTGTCTTTGGGGACGTATAGCTGGGATCAAGAATGCAGTTGCGAAATAGGTTGTAGCCAGAGCGGAACCGCCCAGTAGTTTGAATAAGGACCGCATTCCCAGATCTTTTTGCTTCGCATAGGCTTAAGGGGGATCTCAAGAACAGCTTTGCTGTAAAAGCAGCAGTGATCCTTTCGATATCTAGCCATGTATGCCCTTGTTTTTTCCGCGATCGTGGTTGTCAGTGTCAGCGCGCACCTGCACTTCTTGGGAGAACACATCTGGCGTGCCCTCAACAGGGCATATCAGAGCCTACCCGAGACACAGGTAGAGGACCGCAAAGCACTGACTGATGACCGTCTCTCGCATCGACTAACAAATATTCGAGCATTCAACTTCACGGCGGTATCTAACCTCACCGTGACCATCAACCTTGGCCTCTTTTTGACTTTGGCCTGGCGGTTTTTTCAGGAGCCCAGCATCATAAACTTGGCCGCAAGCTTGGTGCCGCTCATCTTATACTTTCTCTGCTGCAGTGTGGTCACTGGGAACATGCGCCTTACCAGCCGGACATTAGTGAGCGCCAGCTCTGTCCAATGCGGACTCATTCACATCTATGCGGTT